GATGGTGACGGATTATTTTCCACCCTACAACTCCTTTGTCACAGACGAGACGTCACAAGCCTCTCGCAGCTCTATCACTATTTCAATGGAAATTCTTCAGACGAACTATATTTCTTAGTTACGCCATTTCTTACCTTCACGGCCAAGACTCGACATGCCATACATATTGTAGCAAATCACACTAATTTCTTTTGTATTCCGTTGGTGAGATGTAAGTTCCACCCGAGAAGCTTCTTCCCGCGAACCAACACCCAAAAGGATGTTTCCCGATCACTAAAATTTTAACCTTTTCAAGATCAACCGTTATCTTTTCCCCACATATCCCAATGGGGTGTATCGTCAGTGGTAGTACATTTACAGCGAAATGGTCGACTCTGCTTTACTCAAGTGAATTCGGATATAGAGCTGTGATGGTCGACGGCTTGCATCCAAATCTCACATATGACTTCAAGAAGTCATATGAGCACACCGATGGTCACACCCTGGTCAACGGCATCAACCTGCCGGCTAAACTGCGTGAGGGTAGTCGGAAGAGTTTCCCGACCCGACAAGTGAATGGGGAACGTCATTCCCTAACCCACCTGTGCCAGTCTAGGCGTAGGAGTTTACGCCTCAGAGGTCAACGGCGTTACCTGTGAGCGGAGGATGAGGAGGGACTAAGTAACATCATCAATTTCCCCGGTGCAAAACGAACCGACAAGCCACTGCACTATTTTACATTGAATGTCACCATTACGGGGTGTGGTAACCACGGCGGCAAAAAAATGCGCTGAATAAATCGTGAAGATGATCCCCAGAAACTGTGCCTATTACTCTGTAGCCCTCTACCTTGAGTGGCCCTTGGGCCTGATACAGGATGAACATCATTGTAAACAAAAATATCAGACTAAAGATTGGTACTTAATTGCCAAAATGAAAAAAAAAATGTATGGCGTTTCGGTTTTAGAAGAACGAAACACGTTACATAGTTTTTTTTTCTTTCATTTTTTTTTTCATTTTGTCAATCACTTTAAATTTTAATCAATTCGCCGCAAGCAAGGCGAAAACGCCACTAAGACGCATGGGGCTAGTAAAATTGAAAGAGAATGAAAAGATTTTAGAAGCAACCGGGAACCCGATCCTAGACAGGGAACAAGGGATAAACCTATACTCCTGTTCAAAAAAAAAAATGGCGAGGAGTGTGAACCGGACGATAGGCGAACCTATCTACTTCTACTGAGGAAGAAAATGAAACAGTAATTAGCAAATAACATTTCAGTGTTCAAACGGAAAAGTTATAAATATAGAGTTGAAGTAGACTTTAGAAGGAATCAAAAACCCAATCATGAACAGGGATAAACCTACACTCTTGTTCAAAAGACCGGAGAGATAGACGAACCTATCTACTCCAATTATTCACCATTGATAATCTGGTAAAGATGGACTTTTGTACCTGAAAAAAAAAAACCCAAAAAAACGTAGTGTCGAAAGGATCTTTTTTCTTATGACACTGCTTTTATTTTACGTACCTTTATTTTACGTACCTTTATTTTACGTATCTTTAGCGATGTTTATTGTTTTAAAAAGCGATGATTGAAATTGAAATAAAACCTAAACATATGATAAAAGCGATTTCTTTTTGTTCTTGTGAATTTAAAACAAAAAGATTAAATATTATTTATTTATTAGATTGTTTATTTACAAGAATAATTTTATATTTACAACATTCTAAAAACTAATACAATTAAAACTAATGCAATATTTATCATTTACCAATTTATAAAGAAATAAATATGAAAAATGTTTTATTTATAAATTTGTTATAGTGGAACACACCTATTCTATAGTTAAGAGACTCTCCCACCTATAATAAGTAGGAGTAGTAATAGTAACGAGGGGTCTCGCTCAGTGGTTCGGTCTGAGCTCAGTCTGAAGTGGGACGACCGGCTGACCGGTTGAACTCTCTGCCTTCGGGCGGGGAGGAACCCGAACGAGGCTACGCCGAAGGGCGGATTCTCTTTCGGGGAGGTAAACCGACCCTGAACCCGTTTATGGGCATATTTTTGGCCGAGCCCACGGGCTCGGCGATCCCACGGGCTCGGCGATCCCACGTTAAACCGGCCTCGTGCCACATGATGCCCTCGTGGGTGGGGGGCGACTAAATACCGTCGCTGAGTAGGTCGGTCAGTCAGTCGATGCCGGACGACCGTTAGTCGGATACTAAAGTATCAGCGACTACAACTAGATTTCTCTGCGTTATACTCATTATATGAAGTTCCTAACGTTTTGTACGTCGAACCTATTTTAGGACCGACTTAGTACGAATACAAGCCTCCACTGTGAAATCACTCTACAACAAAATTTATAACCATTTAATAAATTATTAAAATGTGTGAACCAATTGTAAGGAAATCTTTATTATTTACCATTCACTCCTGTTCAAAAGATCAGGGAGGAGTGTGAACCAGGCGATAGGCGAACCTATGTACTCCTATTGAGGAGGAAAAATCAATAATTAGTTTTGAATTAATTGGCAATTAGCCGATGTTTTGCCAACCATTCCAATAAACAATACAATAAAAAATATCAATATAAATAAATAATCAAATAAATAAATAATGTTTATTATTTTTCTTATCAAATCTTAAAAACAAAGAAAATATATAAATTCACTTTTATATGTTTAAGTTTTATTAAAATTTTAATTATCGCTTTTTAAAACAATAAACATTACCGAAGATTGGATGTAGTCAATAACAGTGTCAAGGGAAAATTGTTTTTTGACAGTGTTTTTTTTTTCGGACACAAAGGTTAAAGATTGCCAAAGTTTCCATGTTTTCAATGCAACTAGGTCAATTTTTTTAAGCGTTAATAGTTGCAACGTTACGTAAAGAAATAAATATGAAAAATGTTTTATTCATAAATTTATAAACATTTACTAAATTACTAAAATATGTGAAGCAACTATAAGGAAATACACCACGTGGCCTTAGATATTTTCTCAACGGTCGTCGAACAAAGACACGTCGACAGCCAAAGCAGACGACAATTCATCTCATATTCAATAATGGCTTCTTTTTTCTTTTTTTTTTTTTTAAATGTGAAAAACTTAATATCAAACTGTTTGTACCCATATTTTTTCTTTCTTTGTTCTTCTGGACTTTCTCACAGAAAGACACTTATGATAAATAAAATGTTATATTTAAAAAGAGACATCGCTCAAATTACACACGCCCTGTTACGCAAATATTTTTGTTTGCAATGTAATTTAGAGTTGCATTTTTATGCTTGAATTTCTACGATCGTTATTTACATCCGGACTATTTTCTTGATCTTTGTTGTCGTTATCACAACGTTTCGGTCATTGTGCCCCACATCAGGTGTACATCGATTTGGTTAACCTACAAGGAATTTCGAACTGTACTCTTTATTTAACCTAAGTGGGTAGACTGTTCTCGTACCACTGCCCATGTCTTGGGATGTAACGTCTGATTCATTTTAGTACTGCTCACTGTATTTTCACTGAACTCAAGTACACACTCTCCAGCCCACGGATTGAACTCACAATTACTATGTCACCGAATTCAGGAGCAATTGCTTTAATCCACTTGGCCATTCTGTTGAGACTCAAGATAAACCTTTCCATAACAGAAACAATGATCTGTAATCTGGAATGAAAACCGTGAACACTCTGAATCTATTATAAAACAATGGTCTAGTGGATTAAAGCGTTAATCAGTGAATTTAGGCAGTGTGTACTTGGACTCAGTGGAAACCCGGTGAGCAACGACTAAGCAGTATTAAAATAAGAATTAGACGAAATTATCTCCAGACATAGACGGCAGTGAGACGAGAACAGTCTAGCTCTGTAGATTAAATAAAGGGTTTAGTTTAGAATTCCCTGTAGGTTACCAGAATCGCGTTTTTATAATTGACATTGATTCCATGCAAATTCCTTACCGTGTAAATTTACTCAACATTTTCCAAGACAATTCGTAACGTAATTTTCTGACTTTAATAATTGATGGTATGGCTGTATGATTTTAATACCAGCAATACATTTTTCTAAAAAAAATATTGCCAGCAATACATTATTACCAGCAATATATATATATATATTTTTTTTTTTTGAAAAAAATATTACCAGCAATATTTTTGAAAAAAGAAATATTGCCAGCAATACATTTTTGGGAAGGGACATGGCCAAATTTAACTGATAGCACTAAATACATTTTCAATAGTATCAGGAAAGAAAGAAAAAAAGACAGATACCGTATTTTGCGGCATGGAAGACGCACCCTAATATTGGAAAGAAATTTCTAAGAAAATAAAAGTCATTCTCATACAACAAGACATTCACCATTCATCTCTCACACACTGGCGTCACATATTGTTTACATTAATCACTCGTCTGATTTTGTTTGTATGGCAAATTGTTTGAAGTCATATTTTTTACTTCATTCGTTTGAACTTTATTTCTTGGAGACACAAATAAATATATTTCAAAAGGGACACACTGATAACTGCCAAGCAAACATTTTATTTGTAATGTAAATAGCATTTAGACTGGCAAGTGTATTTTTGGAGCCTTTTATATTCAAAGTCAGAGAATTTCGACATTCATTAGTCGCTATCCTATATCAGCGCAAACAATAAACACTTGACGATGGCCAGAAGGTACTTCACCGAAACATCCTTATCTGTCATATTTCAACTTTATGGTATTTGAGGTCATTTTTTTTTTTACTTCATTCGTATGGACTTTTTTTTTTTTTTCACTCGGAGACACTTTTGATAAATAAGATATTATATTTACAAAGGGACACGCGCACACACCCTGCCAAGCAAATATTTTGTTTGCAATGCAAGTAATATTTAGATCGGCATTTTTATATTTGACACTGAATCCATTCACGTTCCCTACTGCTTGAATTTAGTCAACCTTCTCGCAATTTGTAACCAGGACAACCAATTTTTCTGACCTGAATACTTGATCGTGTATCTGTAATAACTTGTTAGGCTTACAGCCATATCACGCTGTAACACCGGTTCCCGTAAGCAACACCAAAGTTAAGCAACGTCGAGCCTGTTCAGTACGTAAACAGGTGACCGCTTTGGAATGCCAGGTGCAGAAAATTTGGATGTGCGGGTGATGTAATGGATAACATTTCGGAAGGAGAAATCAGAGAACCGAGTTCGAATCCCTGTCGGATTCGTTACATTTCTTTATATGCAACTACCATTTGCCTATCGTCCAATTCGCACACCTCCCTGGTCTTTTGAATAGGAGTAGAGAGCTCTTCCCTTATTTCCTGTTTCGGGTTGGGTTTCCGGTCCCTTCTAAATTCTACTTCAACACTATCGTCACAACGTCTCCGCCTTAACACTGAAAATTTATTCAGTAATTAAATCTTGACCTCTTCAAGTTTGAAATTAGCTAACTTTGCTATTACCTTGCCCATTCTTAAACTAATACAGCTCTAAACACTAACGCTCTACCCTGAATGGCCCTTGGGCTTTGTATTACTGAACGTTAGTGTTATGGGACCTTACCCATAATGGACTATTCCATACGTAATAAATACTGTGCCTCAAGAGGAAGCAGGGAGAGTTCCGTCTGAAGTCTAGAGTTCCGTCTGGAGTTCAGTCTGAAGTCTGGAGTGAAGTCTGTCAGGAGTCTGTCAGTCAGTCAGTCAGAGCGAGCTAGTCAGTCAGTCGAGTCAGAGGCAGTCCGAAACAGAGTCGCGTTCAGACCATTACTGCAAGACATTGGAATAGTGATATTGGTCGAGACTACATTGTTCTCCCTACTAAACCTGCTTGTTCGTACTAACACTTCTACTTCTCTGTATATATTCCTGTTTGTAATATATCTGTGCTATTCCATATCCGCGTTCTTTATTGGTTCTACCTTGGACTATCACCCGGGGTACAAGGAACCGGACCATAACAGTTAGTTAAAAAAAAAAAAAAAAAAGGTATGATCGTACAAGAGTTTCATATACGACTCTACTAACACACAGTAAACCATTCCTCCCCATAAGGGAAGGCGTACGTCCAACAAAGGTCATTTACAGGTTGAGATGTAGTGAACAAGACAAAACAAGATCTAGATTTAAAATTCAAATGCTAAGCACCGACTCATTGATTTTGTTAGAAATTCGAATTTACAAACTTTGCTTAACACACACGCAAAAGCGAATCCAAAACAAAACTCGTGAAATTTCACACCTTGATGCGAAATGTTTTTCGGCCAATAGAAAACAAGGAAACATTTAAAAACAAAATTCAAATAATCTTTAGTTCTCAGAAACAAATTCTTTTACGGACCTTTTCGCGAGCTGACGCCATGTTTGTTTATCATCCAATGGAAAGGCCCGAATCATATCCGGGAGTGAATTCCCAAATGACCTTTTCAAGCCCCACAAAATAAAAGACGGACAAATAAACGTAAGCAAAGCCAAAGAATAAGGATTGCTTTTACAAAATCCACTAAATTAATCCATAACATTCTCTGATTTCGAAGCATATCTCTAGGACAAATAATGAATTTTTTAAGAGCATTTTAAATTTGTTGTTTACATTTTTCGTCTATAATAGCAGTTCGAGTGAAAATGAAAATATCTTAAAAATCCCCCAAAACTTTATATATGGAAATTAATTTTTCTCTTAATACGGATTAACTTTCGGTTACTATCTTTCAAATAAACCCAAGATTTAAGTTAAGACTAATGTACGATTTGGTTTGCTTTTTTTTTTTTTTTTTTTTACGGCATATCAATCTCAATGCCGACAAGATTTATATTGCTGCTAATATTTTTTTTCAAACAGTATTTCTGGTAATATTTTTTCAAAAAAATGTATTGCTGGTAATATTTCTTTTTTTCAAAAATATTGCTGGTAATATTTTTTCAATATATATATATATATATATATATATATATACATATATATATATATATATATATAAGCAAATATATGGATATAAATCCGACAGTATGAAGAAAAATACAGAAAAAACAAACAAAAATCTTAATATTCAATTATGCTGTATTAATGCTAATATAAAGTATTTTTCTTCATACTGTCGGATTTATATCCATATATTTGCTTACATACTGTCTACTGGAAATACAAACCTGAATTTACTTTATAACATGGAAGACTTCAAGCTTGGACGAGAATATAAGAATCTATTGATCATGTAAGGAAAGGATTTAATATCGAACTGTTTTTAGAACTGTTCTATCGTTTTTGAAATCATTTTTGATTTGCTTTGTAACGTGAAGGACTTCAAGCTTGTATGAAGATATAAGAACCTATTGATCACTACGTATTCCGATATCAACGGAAGGGATTTCTTGAACTGTTTATATAAAATTGTTCAATCGACTTTTTTAATATTTTAATATTTGGAAAGCATCTTCGAATACGTTTTCACAACATCGCCCACGTGACGACTACGTGATCATATTTAAACGGAACGCTGATCTTATATAAAAATTTCAGTTATCTGTTTGGATTAGTTGTGCTCTTATGTCCATCGTCTTTTGTGTTAAATTTTTATATGTTCTAATGTTAATTATGTTTAAATGAAAATGTCCATGAAGATGGTCTTAAATAGACCGAAACGTCCGACGTTGACTTTATATTAACATTAATACAGCATAATTGCAGATTAAGATTTTTGTTTGTTTTTTCTGTATTTTTCTTCATATATATATATATATATATATATATATATATTGCTAGTAGTAATGTATTGCTGTTAATTTTTTACAAAAATGTATTGCTGGTATTAAAATCTTTTTTTTACACGTTATGAACCCAGTTTCGGGGGGGGGGGTTAACTATTTGCTCATAGCTGGGACCCTAACATGTGCTACCACCCTAGTCAGGGTGAACCTGGGAACATCAGCAATTAAGAGGTGGTTTCACGCTCCTCAAAATTTCCTGATCAGAGGCCTTGCTGCTGGACGTAGTTTATCGTCTTACCAGGAACGCAGGCTGATATACGAATACTCGTTAAGAAAGAACGAACAAGGCCAAATTTAGCTGAGAGCACTAAATACTATTTACATTATTTACATCGTTCAGACTATAGTCCTCATCTTTACTCTCATATTCACGACGTTTCGGCCGTTGTACGCTCCGTCCTTCTTCAGGTGGTATACAGTGGCATTTCGAATCGGACCCTTTATTTAGTCTACGGGCTAAATTGTTCTAATTCCTCGTGTCACACCTCTTTTTTGAATATCACAATATTCAGTTTAGTGACTAAATCCGCTAAGTTTTTTTTTTGTTTCCTCTGCTATTGCCAGGTATTGAACTCATAACTTCTAGTAACTTTTGGCCCAGTAGATAAAAGCGTTGGTTGAGTAATCCAGAAAGTGACTTGATCCAAAGAGTTGTGAGTTCGATCCCTGGTCACAGTAGAGAGGAACAAAGATCTTGGAGACCCGAGTTACTAACTGAATACTGAGATATCCCCCACTCCACCCCCAAAAGTTATGACACGTGGAATTAGAACAATCTACCCCTTTAGAGGTACATAATTTGATGCTTTCAGGATAAAGGTATGTTCTTTTAGGTATATAGCTTGCAGATCATAAAATGTATTGTTGGTAATTTTACTATAAAAATATATCTTTATACTTTTTTTAGTATTATTAGGTTGGTGCAAAAATAATGACGTAATAATGTCGTTTTTTGACCTTAAAAAATACGCCAAAAAAAACGACATTATTACGTCATTATTTTTGCACCAACCTAATACATTGATCGTCATTCTGCTATAAAAATGTATTGTTGGTAATTTTATTATAAAATATACTGTTGATTTTTGTTTGGGAATTCTTTTTTTTTTTTTTTTTTTTTTTTTTACATAGATGAGACCCTAACAGGTGCTACAACTCCGGGTTAGGTTGAACCTGGAAACAACAGCAGTTAAGTGGTGGCTACACGCTCTACAAAAAACCCAATCTCCCGAAAGGCTTTGCTGCCTGTTGCAGTTTATCGTCATACCCAGGACGCAATTGCTAGTCGTCGTTAAAATGTCTCGCTTTTGCATGTACCTATTTATTTTAACTTACTAGGCATTTGTCATTTGTTGTATTGTGGGATGATTGTAGTCCTTCCTGATCTTGTTCTTTTCGTACCCAGGGTACGCAAGTAGTGATTCTTCCAACTCTTTATATATTATATAGACTAATCACTGTCATTCCTTAGCATGTCATTAATTAGCACGTGACTAGTGGTTGGGTCTGTATTAGGTTTGTAAGTTTGCTTGGTGATCACTTTCTGCTTCTCTATTTGTTCTGTTGTTTCCTGCTGGTGCTGTGGTGCAGAATTGAGCGGCTAAGAGCCGTCGTCGCTGACGACGACGACCGGCAGTACACCACCACCACACCAGCAGCCAGGCGGCTCGGACGAGCTTCGCGGCGGGCGCACCTGCCTGCTTCAGCGTTGAATCCGTTTCCCAGTCGCGTCAAGCGAGACTATCGCAACGGGTTCAGCAGGCGCTGCCAGTGACGGCGAAACGCTTCGCTTTGAACGGCGAACGTTTTCTCTTGGCGATTTTTGCCGACTCCTAACCGCCTCTCTCGCTTTCTACACGAAAATTGTTTATAACTGTTAAATTATTACACTACACGGAATTACAAGACACAAGCCGCAGCTTGTGATGCAACAAATTACAACACTGTCTATATTGAGATGAGGTATTGTAATTATTTAAAATATTTACATTGTTCGAACTGTTGTCCTCATCATTACTGCCATGTTCACGACGTTTCGGCCATTGTACGCTCCGGCCTTCTTCAGGTGATTGGAATTTCCAACTGAACCCTTTATATCGTCCATTACAGTAGATTGTTCTAGTTCCACGCGTCATGCCTCTTCCGGATGTCTCAGTTATCTCCCTTTAACTCAACTCTCCTCACTGGGTCAAGTGTCCTCGATGATACATGGCTCAGCGGATAAAAGAGTTGGTTGGATTCAGTGATTGACCCAAAGAGTTGTGAGTTCATTACCTGAGAGAGTTCCGTTAAAGGGAGATAACTGAGACATCCGGAAGAGGCAAGGCATGTGGAACTAGAAATAAAGGGTTCAGTTCGAAATTTCAATTTTTCTCCCCGAAATCGATCCTTCAGATCTACAAATCAACACTTCGCCCTTGCATGGAGTATTGCTGCCATATATGGTCTGGAGCACCTTCTGTTTGCCTCGGGTATTATAGTGGAACACACCTATTCTATAGTTAATAACTCTCCCACCTATAATAAGTAGGAGTAGTAGGAGTCGCTCAGTGGTACGGTCAGTCAGTCGATGCCGGACGACCGTTAGTCGGATACTAAAGTATCAGCGACCACCACTAGATTTCTCTGCGTCATTACCTATTATATCAAGTTCCTAACGTTTTGTACGTCGAACCTATTTTAGGACCGACAGTATAAATACAAGCCTCCACTGTGAAACCACTCCACAACATCGGGGTTCTTGATAAGATCCAGGAGCGGATATGCAATATAATTGGCCCTGATCTGGCATCTCGTCTACAGTCGCTCTCTCACAGACGCGCCGTCGCCTCTCTCTGTCTTTTTTACAAATACTTCCATGGTAATTGCTCCGAGGAGCTGCAATCGCTGGTTCCCAGACTTCGTGAATTCAAGCGGCCTACGAGGCTGGCATCCCGCTCTCACCCTTTCACTGTTGAAACTATAAAATGTAGTCGTCTCTTCTACTCCAATAGCTTCATATCTCGCACCTCTCGCCTGTGGAACTCCCTTCCCTATTCCAGTTTCCCTGAGAGCTATAATCTCCAACTATTCAAATGTAATGTCTATCGACATATCCAGTTGCCTTGATCTATCCACTATCCTTCTCCTCATCCTTTCCTCTATCACTCCTATCTGATCTTGCTCCAAATCTTCTGCAACCACTACGTCCTAGTGGCTTCCCGCCTTGCTTGGGGTGATAAAAAACTGAAGAAAGCCGGAGTGTACAATGATTGAAACGTCGTGAACATGGCAATAAAGACGAGGGCAACAGTCCGAACAATGTAAATAATATAAATAAGTTGCATGAAAAGTTAAGGCTGCATTTTTTCCTTCTGCTGACCGGTCTTTTAAGTTTTTTTTTTTTTTTGTTATGTGTAATCAGTGGTAATTTTAACATTGCCACAGCACGTACCTAAGACAACCTGGATCTTTTTTTCACAACCCGTAAGACATCAGCACTTACAATAGTCTTTCTTTTAATCATTTCACCCCCAAGCAAGGCAATAAAGCCACTAGGACGCAAGGGGTTACAGAGAGTGGAAGAAAATGAGAAGACTTTAGTGAGAAGAAAGGGCAATAAAAGAACAGATTTCAGAATGACGGAAGATGGCGATTGGCGTTGTATTCATTTTTTTGAAGATTGTAGGTGGCAGGGGAGCAAGAAATTGGTAGGGTGTTCCACAGGCGATAAGCGAGAGAAAAGAAACTATTAGAATAGAACATACGGTTGCATGTAGCTATTTCAACAGTAAAACGGTGAGACCTATCTGCCAATCTAGTAGCAAGCTTAAATTCATGCAGTCGAGACTTAAAGGAAGAAAGCTCGTCAGAATAATTGCCACGAAAATATTTGTAGAAAAAAGACAGAGGGAAGCCACTTCACGTCGGTGAGAAAGTAACTAAAACCGAGATACCAGGTCAAGATCGACTTTATTACAGACCCTTCTTTGAATATTGCCAAGAATATCGATTTATATAGCAGGAGAACCAGATCAGATATGGCGGCAATATTCAATGCTGCGTAGCCGAGTGGTTAGAACGTTCGCATTCTGACCATGAGACCCGGGTTCGAATCTCACTATGGTCGATTTGACAGGAAGGAGACGTTATCGGACTGGAGGGGTCGATCCCAGCGTGCGGTACCTTTGATCCAATCCTTGTGAGTGAAATTGGGTAAACGGAACTTGGGTGGCTAGCACGAAGATCGAGGGATTGAGTGTACTGACCTTGTTCAGATCGCGTTAGATAACACGCTCTTTCCCAGAAACTGTAACTAAGGTCTGCTCAGCATAGTTGCAGTATAAACAACAGGTGGACGCTGTGGGGGTTGAATAAACACAAATCCGCCTGAGCAAGCGTCTACAACAGAAATTGGCTAATCGCTCTAATAGACGAGTGTCTTCGAATACGAGTGGCCAGCTATACATTCAATGTAAATTAATAAATGTGCAAGATGGATTCTGACGGGGGAAATTTTCTTACACGACTCAGTGAACTAACTTTCCTAGCAGTAGACCGAGCAATTGATTTAATACAATCACTCCACTTCATGTCAGTGGAAAACGCTAGCCCAAGGAGTTGCCCAAGGAAACGTTAGTCAAAGAGTTGCTCTACTGGAGGTTAGTATCAGCCATGCTGATGGCAGGCAGAAAGGGTTCTCTGTGGAGATTAAATGAAAGCAGTTTTGTTTTGGAGGCGTTAAAATTTACAATCCATTCCTTGCACCAGTTAACGATTGATTGGAGGTCCTTTTCAAGAGCAGTTGCCAGTTTTACTTTGTCGAACTTGTCGTTATTTATTCATTTATATTTGAGGTCTGATAAAAAAAATAACGAAACTGTTGCTATAAAAAGAAAACTACAGCATATATCAATTCAGCATTTAACCTCCTTCGAAGTAGGCTCCTTCTTAAGCCACACACTCTATCCAGCGTTGTTTCCATTGATGGAAACATTCCTGGAACTCCTTTTTTAGGATAGCGACCTTTCCTTCTCTTGGATTTTCTCGACGTCTTCAAATCTGTTTCCTTTCAAGTGGGACTTGAATTTAGAAGAGAAAATGTGCACAAAGAGAGGGATCTGGGGAATATAGTGGTTTCGTTCCTGGGGAATGTTGTATTGGCCAAAAAACCGCTGCACAAGCTATGTCCGCTGATGGAAGGTTTGAGGTGTTGTGATACAACCACACTCTACACACTTTTCCTTCCAAGCACTGCTATAAAGATATTGAGAACATTATAACATAGTGTGTATACGAGACACAGTTCAAAGGTCAATCTGTGCCAAGTGGCTTTGTTTTGTGTACCTTAGCTCCGTTACCATAGTAAGAGTACCAGTACTTTTTGGTCAGACTTCGTATTTATATATTCATTGTGCTATTTAATATAAAAGACTGAAAATCCATTGAACATGTAAACATCTATATAGTAAAAGATGAACTACTTCTCTGTTTGACCCACATTGTTTGAGTTTTACTGTGTGCGGGCATGTAACGCATATGTTTATGTATGTGTTGAGCATAAGTGACTTATATGTTCTTGTGCCATTTAAAAGTTGAGAAGACGAAAGGAAAAAGAAGAAAGGAAGAAAGAAAAGAGATCAAAGACGGGAGGAAGGAAGGAAGGAACGAACAAAGGAAGGGAGAAAGGGAGGAAGGAGAGGATAGGAGGGAAGGAAAGGAGAGGAAAAAAGAAAGAAAGGAGATCAAACACAGAAGGAAGGAAGGAAGGAAGGAAGGAAGGAAAGGATAGGAGGAAGAGGATAGGAGGCAAGGAGAGGAGAGGAAAGGAAAAGAAGAGAGGAAGAAAGAAAGGAGATCAAAGACGGGAGGAAGGAAGGAACGAAGGAAATGAGCAATGAAGGAGAGGATAGGAGGGAAGGAGAGATGAAGATAGGAGGGAAGGAGAGGAAAGAAAAGAAAGAAAGGAGATCAAAGAAGGAAGGAAGGAAGGAAGGAAGGAAGGGCAGAAGGAAGGGGGGAAGGAAGGATAGGAGAGTAAAAGACGGAAGTACGGATGCACCTCTAAAACTCTTGACGTTCAGAGACTGGCAGCTGGCATCTCTTCCAGATCTAGGACTAATTTCCCACTGGGGAAAAAAAACTGGCTGGTTAGATTCAATGCCACGAAAATAAAACTAGTTACATTCTATGACCGCCGATCAGATCCCGACCAGCCACGATGAACGGATGTCCCCACGAAAAAAAGTCCCGTACCTCGAGAGAATACTGGGCCTCAAATTCACATCCTACCTCAAGTGGAACTCTTACATACGATCCATCTTTAATGATGCAGGTAAAATGATCGGCTTCCTGTACCTGACTCCTCATGTTATCCTCTTTACAAGAGCCAGATCAGACCGAAAATGGGGTACAGTCCTCACTTTCTAGTCTTGATAGAGTTCAAAAGCGTCTCGAACTCCTTGTTGGAGAAAAATTATTTTCTACCCTCCAAACTCTCTCTCTCTCTCTTTCAGGCGGGATGTGGCGAATCTCTCACTGCTCTGTCGTTACTACCATGAAAAGTGCTCAGATGAACTACATTCCTTGATTCCTCCAGGTCTAACTTTCATTGTAGCAAACCCCACCCACATTTCCTCTGTATTCCATCGGTGAGAAGGAAGTTCCACGGCTTCTTCCCGCTAACCAATATTCTGTGGTGCAGCCTCCGAAAAGGATGTTTTCCTGATCACTACAATCTTAACCTGTTCAAGTCTAGAGTCAACCGTTCTCTCCAACCCCCTATCCATATAAACT